TAGTATATTTGAGAAATGCTGTTTTACATTTGGACCAGTTTTTGTACTATCCTTTATCACGTGAAAATCAGGTATTTAAACCCCAGATATGGGGTTAATGGACGAGGCAGTATTTTTGACTAAAATTTGTCTAATGTCACAAGAGTTGTGTTTTTATAAAGTTACATTTGTATCTCCAGTTTTATTAAAGAGTTTGGTAACTATTCAGCTGCTCAATAAATCACCCATTTGTATTGAATTTGAATGATAACAGTAAACTAGGTTGTGAAATTATTAATTCAAACATGGCTAAAATTAATGTGTACCATTTCGTGTGTTCTTTTACAGTGGCAAGTTGACTGAACCGTAAGCACAGCAACCATTATCTGGTGACTTTGGATGTGGTGTTTATGTGTTTTGTGTACCACAGTGAACACTTTATGATATACTTATGTACAGGGTACCTCACAGCAGTGTCTGAATGTCTGAATTCCATTTCACGGAATTTTACATTCACAACTGGGCATAATTATTACAAAATACTTATTTTTCTGCACATGCAAATTGCAAGGGTTCAGAAAGAAGAAATAAATACAGAAGTTTGGTGGACAATAGTCACAGGAAAATAACATTTCAGAGGCATTGACATGAGTGGAAGGACAGTATTGAAACAAAACTTAAAGCAGCACATTAAGATACAGATTATATTAGGCTGGATCAGAATTGGGTCCAATACTAAGTTCTTGTGAAGGTGATAATAAAACTTTGATTTATAATCATAACAAGAATATTTTGATCAGGTGCGGGAAGGCTCTGTACCTTGGAATTATTTATATATGCCCTATACATCACCTCTTTGTAAGCCTTACTTTCATAGTGCCTCATGTCTTCTGTTTCCAGTCATACTTACTGAATGAGCTGAGGTATTGAAAAAATTATTTGTTCTTTAGAATCTCTGTTGGCTGAAAAAATACTTGGTTTTGCCTGTCACATTAATTGACTGAGATGGCCTTGTCACTGGAGACAAGTGATGAAAGAATCTTAACCTCTTAACTAGGTAATGTGGGAGGTTTTCCCCAGGAAATATTTACAAGTGAAGGAGAGATAAATTAGATCTTTTTCCTTTACTGCCACATCAAGACCAAGTCTACCATCTTACAGGCTTTTGGCAGATAGATACCAGGATCTTTTACCAGTGGTAAAGTGGCTAGGGAGTGAAGTGTGTTACTTATTTTTGTCCAAAGGCACAGAAAGGAATACGTGGAGCTTTACCCCCGCTACCTATAAACACCTTCTTGGTATTGTTTAGGCACAGTGATATCTTGATCTTTTTATGTTGAGCAGAAAAGTTGTAAAAATTTGTTGGAGTCATTGCAAGCTTAAATGCAGTGGGTAGATAATCACAGACATAATTAAAGTATATCACTTTGCTTATGTCAGAATAAGTTAGGGGAATTCAATTTGTAGCTGTAGCAGTGAAGGATCTTATACCAATCTCTGTTTCTAAAACATAAGCAAGGTATGGCTCAATGTTGGTAAAAATGAGTTTAAACAATGCAGGCAAAACATTTTACAGTTTGAATGGCATCCTGGTTTCAGAAAATGTTATTATTTCTTTTTAGTTTGCTTTATTTTGCAAGTAATTATTGATTTTGAAGTGAATAGTTGGTTATGTGTTGCGTAATTTGAAATTGCCTCCATATTTACGTTAACCGGAATGGTAGCACAGAGTACAGAGCTGAGATTTGCTGTGGTATTATCTGTGGTGAAAACTATCATTCAGTGAAACGTCACGCATTTAATCACAGGAGGTACAACCGGATAATCCAAAGGTGTGTCGTGCTTGTATGTAAGTTTCTGTTTATTTGTGTTTATGTATTTACACCAATAGCGATTATTGAATTCGTGCTATCTATAAATTTAAAAATGAAACGTTTTTGGTGTGCACTTAACCTCTTTGTCAACTATGAATGTGTCATTAGAGATGCATGACACTTTCGTCATGAAAGTTTGTGGAATGTGAGAAACTGAATAAATCATGCTTGGAAATATATTGAGGTTTTTGTATATGTACGTGGTAGGTGGGAGTTTTCATGTACATATAGATACTTCCTGTTTTCTGAAATGTTTAATTTGTGTTATGTTTTAGTGGACTTATTATTTGATTTTGATCGATTTTCTTGTGTATTCAGACTCTAGTCAACAGTTATGTGGAAGGCAAGTGCTGGTACCAAACTAGATATCTCTAATGGGAATGAAGATGACTGGGAAACCGACCCTGACTTTGTGAATGATGTGACAGAACAGGAGCAGCGATGGGGCTCTCGCACAGTAGAGGGCTCTGGACGTACTGCTGGTGCTATCGAGTAAGCATGCATTCTATTTCACTGCACTGACCCAGGCTATTGTGACATCTGAAAGGGGGGAATGAATCCTTTGTATGCATTAGATAGGGGCTGCTTAGACCCCCAAAGTCACATGTAAATGGTGGCAATGAAATAAATCCATGCTGATGCTTGGAATTGAACTCCAGACTGCAGGCAGTAATTTTACCAACTGAGCTACTTTCTTGTATTGCTTTATCAGAATTTACTTATTGCTGTTTTGTGATGTAATTTTATTGTGGCTTCATATTATCACAGTATGAAGAAGCTGCGAGAGGAAACAGCTGAAGCAGATGCCATTTTAAAGCAGAAACAGTTGGAAGAAGGTCCAAAAGCTGCATTTGGCTATGGAGGGAAATTTGGTGTGCAGGCAGACAGGTTGGTGCTTTTCTGTGGGTTGAAAGTGTTGGAAGCAGACACATTGCCTGCCACAATCTGGTCCTCTTTGGATTGATTCTGCACCTGGAACTCCAGTCTTTAACTTTGTGGCACTGTTTATGTTTTCTGTACTGCCTCCGTTCTGTTGTGCCTCATGGGGTCGACTAATGGTGTGTCATGCACACAACCGTGTGATCACCTGCAACCGGCTGTGTTTGATAGCAGTGCTGCAATGGGGTTTTATTGGCATATCCCTCATACTTTGGTCTTGGAAAGCAAAATTAATTAGTGTCCTACCTATCATCTCAGCAGACTGAAAACTAATATTGAGTCTGGAGAAGAGAAAATACAAATATTTCTGTACAGATTCAAGGTATTAAACACTGTGCAAAGATTTTTTAAAAAAACACTTATACCATGAATAATGTATCTTACAGAGGAAGCAGAGCTGTCATGATATTCCTTGACAGATTACTGACACAAAATCATCAGTTAATATTCATCTATGAGCTGACAAGGTGTTTTACTGATTGCAGGATGGATCAATCAGCTGTTGGACATGATTATGTGGCTAAGGTGGAGAAGCATGAGTCACAGCGAGATTACAGCACAGGGTTTGGAGGCAAGTTTGGTGTGCAGAGTGACAGGCAGGACAAGGTAATGAAGTTAAAAGGAGTTGATTTGGTGTCAAAGTTACAAATTTTTTATAGTCGTTATTATAGCTTCGGAAAAAGGCATATCAACTCACAACAAGCGAGTTAATGCTGTGTTTGGTTCCATTTTAATTATTAACTTTGCTCTAAATGTTTTACAATGAAATGACTTATCGACATACATAATGTGCAGAAATCAAGTTAAAGGTTATATTAGATTTGTAAGATTTGAGGTTTTTACATGGTGAGTATGAAGATTTCTGTCTTCTGGGTTGTTGCGCTGTGTAGTCTGGTCGATGTTTACCAATGATTCATCGCCCTGATGACGGAGGCAGTATGACCTCTGAAACGTTGGTAAACATCGACCAGACTACACAGCGCAACAACCCAGAAGACGGAAA